ATCTGGTTCCCTGAGAAAGTTTCCTGCTTTAGTAATGGGAGAGGCCCTGGGTTGCTAGATGGAATGCAAATGCATGGATCTGCTAACCCATGAGGATGCCTGCATAATTTCCCTTGACTCTGTAACACATCCTTTCTGGTTAGAATTGGGCTGTGCTGCTCAGTGGTTCTGAAGGTGGTCCCTGGACCAGCAGAATCAGTTCCTTGGGAAAAAGTCTGACATGCACATTCTCGGGCCTCACCCCAGGTTTAGCATCTGTGGGGAAGGGGGTTGCAGAACACAGCGATCTGTAGTTTAGCAAACCCTCCAGGTAATTCCAATGCCCCCCAAAGTAGGGAGCTGCTGGTACAAAGCAGATGTTTCAAATGCCCCTGACACAGTCTCCCCTGTTTTTCTAAGGCCCCCCGTGATGACCCCAAAATGCATGTGGCTATGTAGGCATCATTTACATTTATTAAGAGAAAATGTTTGTTTGTTTGTTTGTTTAAAGATTTTATTTATTTATTTAAGAGAGAATGAGATAGAGAGCATGAGAGGGGGGAGGGTCAGAGGGAGAAGCAGACCCCCCGCCGAGCAGGGAGCCCGATGCGGGACTCGATCCCGGGACTCCAGGATCATGACTTGAGCTGAAGGCAGTCGCTTAACCAACTGAGCCACCCAGGCGCCCCAAATGTTTGGTTTTTTTAATAAGAAACTTTTTTTTTACTTGAATCAGTTCAAGAATTTCACCGCTAGCAGTGCATTACGAATGTCCCCAGCCATCCCTCTTGATCATGGTCTCCGATCCAAAAGCCATCAGAAGAGAATTACAGTTCTAGTCCACTATTTCTAGCTGTGGTGTCCAGGTGGCTCTGGTCTGCTTTGAACACCCTAACTTTTTCAAAGTAAATGCTTTGAGCCTCCAGGGACAGTCCACTAAGAGCATGGAGGGGGTGCCAAGAGGCGGGCAGGCAGGTGGCAGAGACTCCCCTCTGCCTTGCTAGCACCCTATCTGCTCCTGAGAGCCGGGTGTGAGCGTTTCAACTGCCGCAACTTCAGTATCCTCTGTTAGAGCTAGAATTACTGTGGCGCTGGCACCAGGCTTGCCCTCCAACAGACTCTCATTAAAGAACTGAAAGTGGGTGCATTCCAATTATAAGACCTTGAAAGGGTCTTGTATTGCTACTTTTCATCATTGCCGTTTCCTGGGGAAGAGGGGGCAATTTGCACACCTGCTTGCCTTCCTTGGACGGGATAGCTGTTTGTCAGACTCCCTCTCCTGATAGAGCTCTGATTCCCCGTCACCGATGGTTCCGTGGTAGGGGAGACAATTTTAAAAGGCCTGAGGAAAAGAAAACATCCACAGAGTGCAGCTGGGTGGCTCAGTCAGTTGGGCTTCTGCCTTCGGCTCAGGTCATGATCTCAGGGTCCTGGGATCGAGCCCCACATTGGGCTCCCTGCTCAGCGGGGAGTCTGCTTCTCCCTCTCCCACTCCCCCTGTTTGTGTTCCCTCTCTCGCTGTGTCTCTCTCTCTCTGATAAATAAATAAACAAACAAATAAATAAGTATCTTTTTAAAAACAAGCAAAAAACATCCACAGAAACTCATTTCATGTGGTTGGGTTTTTTTATAATTTATTTATTGTTATTTTCCTCTTTGTTCTTTATGTATGTTTTTAAAATCTTCTACAATTAAATGAAATATATTAAAGGGAATGAAAACTTTATGTTAAAGGCATTTGTTACATGTTGATAGATTTAAATGAGACCACTTGTAGGAAAAACTGCGTTTACGAAAGGACAGGTGTTTTGCTCCTTGGTGAAAATATATTTAAAAGCAAGGAAGTGCTGTTACCACAATAAAAATAAACAAATACCCGGCAAATTCCCTGTGGTTGGGAGAGGAGGAGGGTAACAGTGATATAAATGTGATTTTTTCAGTGTCCATGGACTCACTGATTCACATCAGTGTAGTAATTGCTCAGTCATCCTGTGAATAAATGAACTTACAGTTTTGTAATGATTCTGTTGCCCTAGTGAGGACCACTTCAAAGGGTGTGTTAAAGCAAAGAAAATATGTCCCAGATTCCTGCTTTGCTATTAGGGTTAAAAATAGATTGGAGTCACAACAATGTGGACATACTGAACACTACTGAACATTTAAAAGTAATACAGATGAAGCCGACTCTGTGCTGAGTGCTGAGCCCCATGCGGGGCTTGATATCACAACCCTGAGCTCATGACCTGAGCCGAAATCAAGAGTTGGAGCCTTAACTAAGCCATCCAGGCACCCCAAACACACAATTTTGAAAAATAAAAAAATTTAAAAAGAAACTAATGAAATGGTAAGCAAACACAATAAAGAAAAACAACAGGGGCGCCTGGGTGGCTCAGACGGTTGGGTGTCTACTTTTGGCTCAAGTCATGATCCTGGAGTCCTGGGATTGAGCCCCACATCGGGCCCCCTGCTCAGCAGGGAATCTGCTTCTCCCTCTGCTCCTCCCCATTCTCATTCTCTCTCTCTCTCTCAAATAAATAAATAAAATCATTAAAAAGAAAAAGAAAAAGAAAAACAGAGTCAAAATTGGTTCTTTAAAAGGACTAATAAAATTGATAAAATTCTAAGGGCGCCTGGCTGGCACAGTTGGATCATGTGACTCTTGATCTTGGGGTTTTAAGTTTGAGCCCCACACTGGGTGTAGAGATTACTTAAAAAATAAAATCTTTAAAATTTTTGATAGGGGCGCCTGGGTGGCTCAGTTGGTTAAGCAACTGCCTTCGGCTCAGGTCATGATCCCGGAGTCCCGGGATCGAGTCCCGCATCAGGCTCCCTGCTCAGCAGGGAGTCTGCTTCTCCCTCTGGCCCTCCTCCCTCTCATGCTCTCTGTCTCTCATTCTCTCTCTCGCAAATAAATAAAATCTTAAAAAAAATTTTTTTTGATAAAACTCTGGAAAGACTTATTATTTTAAAAAGATAAGGCACACATTCTGATTTTAGGAATGAAAACATATGACATTCCTATTTATTTCAAAAGCTCTAAAAATATAATAAGAGAATCTCACACTTGTTAGAATGACTATTATCAAAAAGACAAGACAGGGGCACCTGGGTGGCTCAGTTGGTTAAGCAGCTGCTTTCAACTCAGGTCATGTTCCTGGGGTGCTGGGATCGAGTCCTGCATTGGGCTCCCTGCTCAGTGGGGAGCCTGCTTCTCCCTCACACTGTCTCCCAGCTTGTGCTCTCACTCTCTCTCTCTCTGTCAAATAAATAAATACTCTTAAAAAAATAATTTAAAAAAACCCAAAAAGACAAGACATAACAAGCATTGACGAGAATGTGGAGCAAAGGGAACCCTTAAGCACTGTTGGCGGGAATGTAAATTGGTGCAGGTGCTGTGAAAACAGTATGAAGGTTCCTCAAAAATTAGCAAATAGAACTACCGTATGTTGCAGCAATTCCACTTCTAGGTATATATCTGAAGGAAACAAAATCACTATCTCCGAGAAATATCTGCATCCTTATGTTCATTGCAGCATTATTCATGATAGCCAAGACATGGAAACAACCACCGATGAATGGATAAAGAAAATGTGATATGTATATATGTATAAAATGGCATAATATTCAGCCATAAGAAAAGAAAGAGGGGCACCTGGGTGGCTCAGTCGTTAAGTGTCTGCCTTCGGCTCAGGTCATGATCCCAGGGTCCTGGGCTCGAGCCCCACATCGGGCTCCCTGCTCAGCGGGAGGCCTGCTTCTCCCTCTCCCACTCCTCCTGCTTGTGTTCCCTCTCTCGCTATGTCTCTCTCTGTGAAATAAATAAAATCTTTAAAAAAAAAAAAAAGAAAGAAAAGAAAGAAATCCTGTCATTTGCAACAACATAGATGGACCTTGAAGGCATTATGCTAAGTGAAATAAGTCAAAGAAAGACAAAACACTGTATGATCTTACATGTGTAATCTAAAAAAGTCAAACTTAGAGAAATGGAGTAGAATGGTGTTTGCCAGGGGTTACGGGTGGGGAGTGAAATGGGGAGATGTTGGTCAAAGGGTACAAACTTTCAGTCATAAGATGAATAAGTTCCAGGGATCTAATGTGCAACATGGTGACTATGGTTAACAATACTGTGTTGTATCCTTGAAAGTTGCTTTAAGAGTGGAAATTTAGGGGCGCCTGGGGGACTCAGTCAGTTAAGCGTCTGCCTTAGGCTCAGGTCATGATCCCAGAGTCCTGAGATCGAGCCTTCATCCGGCTCCCTGCTCAGCGGGGAGTTGGCTTCTCCCTCTCCTTCTGCCTCTGCCCCTCCCCCTGCTCATGTCTCTCTTGCTTGCTCATGCTCTCTCTCAAAAAAATAAAATCTAAAAAAAAAAAAAAAGAGTAGAACTTTAACGTTCCCACCATAGCAACAACAACAACAAAATGAAATGGTAATTATGCGAGGTGAAGGATGTAACTAAACATTTTGCAATATATATATGATTCAAATCATCACATTGTACACCTTAAACTTACATGATATTATATGTCAATTATAGCTCAATAAATCTAAAAAAAACAAGAGATTATGTAAATCCTTACCCTGATAAATTTGAAACTTATATAAAAATGAAAAATTTCCTACAAAATCACAGCATTTCAATAATATCTGAGGAAGGAAAAAATCTGAAGAGTTATATACGTATTTTTAATCAACTCTAAGTAAGACCTTGTCACAAAGGATAAAACAGAGATTGGATTACTATTAATATAACAGCAGCTGCAGACTTAAAATATAAACAAACACTGAGCCATAATTCTACTCACTCAGTCCTCAGTCCAGGAGGATTCTGATAAAACAGTAGCAGAAGAAGGCACCCCCCCAATCGCCTCTGACTTCGCGCTGTCACCAAGTCTAAAATGTGAAGGATGAAGTCATGTTCCTCTTTCTGACAGCAGATAGAGCCATTGAGACATGTACAACGTGCCAACCGCAAAAAGCTAAAGGCATCTTAGACATTCTTCTATGATGATTTAACAGTCGAATGCAAGGGGTTTCTGTGATGGAAACTGGCAGAGTTCCTGACTCTAATGTGCCAGACCTGGTAGGAATTTTCAATCCTGGTAGGTCCAGCTCCCAGGCACCTGAAAGCTGGGGTACATTGTACATCCTGCTGAGAAGGAGGGGTTTTGCTTAGGTTTCAGGATCTGCACCGGAAGAGAACTTAAAAGTAGAAGCTACCTTCATGCCTGTGACATCTGTGAGTAGAGATCATCTCTCACTCCTATCCAGGAGAGACATGAACATGAGGTTCACCAGGGAGCCTGTCCGCAGGCAGGAAAAAGTCAGCAGAGAGGCTCAAATGGCCAGGTGAAAATACAACTTTTTTTTTTTTGAGAGGGACAGAGAGAGAAAGAGAGCACAAGGGGGTGGGGGGGGCAAGGGCAGAGGGAGAAGCAGGCTCCCCACTGAGCAGGGAGCCCGAGGCGGAGCTCAATCCCAGGACCCTGAGATCATGACCTGAGCAGAACGCAGACTGAGCCACCAGGAGCCCTGCCTCTGTAACTTTTTAATTAAAGAGAAATGTTCCCACCACACACACCCAGCGGTGCTTCAAACCATCCTTGGGATGAGGGAAAAATTATGCAGAAGAGAGTGAAAATATCTGCTTTAACAGAGGAAAAATCATCTTCTGATCAAAACACCTGTGTCTGTGCTGGTTAGAATTCAAGATCTACGTATCTAAAGGTCACATTCAGGTTTTATTTTGTTTTGTTGTTTTCCTTTTTATAATCCATTTTGTCACTTCATTCATTATTAACAGAATAGTGGTATGTGACCTGATTTTAAGAACACCCTTACCCAACACACACACACACAGTATTGGTAAAAATTAAACATTACTTTATGACCACGGGTGGTAATCATAGTTCTCTGGCACTGACTAGAAACACGATATCCATAGTATTTTTTTTAAAGCAGTAAAGTTATTGATATTGAACACTTTCTAGTGGTGAGTCCAGAAAAGTTTTAAAAAATTAGATCATCTTTTCATCTGTAACACTTTGTGAAGTGAACATCATGATGCCCATTATACAGATGAGCATCCGTAAGATAAAGTCTTAGAAAACCTGAACTTTTTTTTTTAAGATTTTATTTATTTATTTGACAGAGAGACAGCGAGAGAGGGAACACAAGCAGGGGGAGTGGGAGAGGGAGAAGCAGGCTTCCCGCGGAGCAGGGAGCCCGATGCGGGGCTCGATCCCATGACCCTGGGATCATGATCTGAGCTGAAGGCAGACACCCAATGACTGAGCCACCCAGGTGCCCCAGAAAACCTGAACGTTTGACTTAAGTCACAAGCTAGGAAGTAGAGAAACTAAAGCCAGATCTGACTGTTAAAAATTATACTATACAAATTCGTTCTCTGAGACAACCTCTAAAATGTGTGTTTGGAAGTCAGGAAATGGGTGGTGTGGGCACTATCTTGTCTAGATTAGGGACACAATACCACATGATCTCATCTCAACTGCTTCTGTGATTAGTAGGCTCTGCCAGGAATTCTCTTTCTTAGAATTTAAAAGGGTTTGTCCATTTTTCAGATGCCATCTTCCAGCAGCTGAAGATGTATTCACCTTTTCTAATCCTGGGACCAAACACAGAAGCAGTTTATAGTGATAAAAACCTGGTTGATCTGGATGAAAGTGAGTCGTAGAGGGGGTTGTTGAGGGAATCAGAATTCCAGACAGAGACTCGGGAGCACTGGGAGCCAGGAAAGTGGTATTTAATACCATTTGAGCAGTGGTTCTCAAGGAGGGGCAGTTCCCCCCCCCAGGGTCATTTGGTAATGTCTGCAGACATTTGGGGTACATATGAAAGTGGGTGTTACTGGCAGTAGGAGGGACAGGATGGGGACTAGGATGGGACAAGCAAGGCCAAGGCATATGGAGAGGGCACTTAAAAACTCAGTAATCCAAAAAACAAAAAAACCCACCACACCTCAGTATTCCAGATAAATGTTTAAAGGGTAATTTTTAGGGGCACCTGGCTGGCTCAGTCAGTAGAGCTGGTGACTCTCGATCTAGGGGTTGTGAGTGTGAGCCCCATGTTGGTTGTAGAGATTCCTTAAAAAATAAAATCTTTAAAAAAATAAAGGGTTGGGGCGCCTGGGTGGCTCAGTCGGTTAAGCGTCTGCCTTCGGCTCAGGTCATGATCTCAGGGTCCTGGGATCGAGTCCCGCGTCGGGCTCCCTGCTCCGCGGGGAGCCTGCTTCTCCCTCTGCCTCTGTCTCTCTCTCTGTCTCTCATGAATAAATAAATAAAATCTTTAAAAAAATAAAAAATAAAAAATAAATTAAAAAATAAAATAAAATAGCTTTCTGGAAGTAACCCTGCTTCCTCAAATGGCACATATGTTTTACATTTTGAGAGGTACAGTTGTCCTCCAAAATAATTTTGTTTTAAGAGTAATCAGCACTCGGGGCACCTGGATGGCTCAGTCGTTAAGTGTCTGCCTTCGGCTCTGGTCATGATCCCAGGGTCATGGGATGGAGCCCCGCATCGGGCTCCCTGCTCAGCGGGAAGCCTGCTTCTCCCTCTCCCACTCCCCTGCTTGTGTTCCCTCTCTCACTGTCTCTCTGTCAGATAAATAAATAAAATCTTTAAAAAAAAAAAAAACAAATAAAAGTATCTTTATGTTAGGAAATTACCTTCTGACCTTGTAGAAATGAGTTAGACTTTCCAGGACTAACTGGGGATATTCATATTTGTATTTCTGGGTGTCCTAAGCTACACATAAATGCTGCGAACTGCAGCTCCCAGGGTGGAAACCGAAGCAGCGGAGTCCCGAGCGCGGGAACTGGGAGCGGCTGGCGGTTTTAGAAGCACAAAGGGCAGAGACGTGCCCCGACCTGGAGGCAGGACTGGGGGCGCTGTGGAGGGGCGCACAACCCAGGACGCTGCAGTTTATGGCAGCACGGACAGAAACGGAGACAGTGTGGCCTGGAGAGCTCACTGAAGAACAGACTGAGGTCTCTCTGCTCTGAGACAGAGGGTTGGAAACAGTCTCTTCTGCTCTGACTCGTGGAAAAGACATGGAAAGCCACCAGGGAAAGGCGCCAGAGAACAAAAGCCCCAAAGACTGATTCCCACTGAGCCCATCCCCCGCCACAGGGGCGCAAGGCAACTCCACCCTAACAGGGTTGCCTGAGTAACAGCGCGGCAGGCCCCTCCCGCAGAAGACAAGCTGGGAAAACAAGAGGCAGCAGCCCTAAGGTCCCAAGAAAACAGGTGCATCTTGCTTGGGTTCTGGTCAATAATTTGGACTCTATACATTCCCTCAAACACCCATCAACAGAATGACTAGGAGGAGGAGCCCCCCAAATGAAAAGACTCAGAGATTATGACTTATGCTGCAGATTTACAAATGGATGCACATATAACCAAGATGTCGGAGATGGAATTCAGGCTAGCAATTGTGAAGACAATGGCTAGAATGGAGAAATCAATTAATGGCAACATAGAGTCTCTAAGGGCAGAAATAAAAGGTGAATTGGCAGAACTTAAAAATGCTATCAATGAGATCCAATCCAATCTAGATAATCTAAAAGCTAGGGTAACTGAGGCAGAAGAGAGAATAAGCGACCTGGAAGACAATATAATAGATAAAAAGGGAAAAGAGGAGGCCAGGGAAAAACAACTCAGAGTCCATGAAAATAGAATCAGAGAAATAAGTGACACCATGAAGCGTTCCAGTGTCAGAATAATTGGAATCCCGGAGGGAGTGGAGAGAGAGAGAGGACTAGAAGATGTATTTGAGCAAATCGTAGCTGAGAACTTCCCTAATCTGGGGAATGAAACAAACATTTGAGTCCTAGAGGCAGAGAGGACCCCTCCTAAGATCAAGAAAAACAGGCCAACACCCTGGCATGTAATAGTAAAACTTGCAAATCTTAGAACCAAGGAAACCATCTTAAGGGCAGTTAGGGGGAAGAGATTCCTTACGTACAGAGGGAGGAACATCAGAATAACGTCAGACCTATCCACGGAGACCTGGCAAGCCAGAAAGGCCTGGCAAGACATATTCAGGATACTAAATGAGAAGAACCTGCAGCCAAGAATACTTTATCCAGCAAGGCTTTCATTTAGAATGGATGGCGAGATGCAGAGCTTCCATGACCGGCAGAAACTGAAAGAATATGTGACCACTAAGCTGGCCCTGCAAGAAATATTAAGGGGGGTTCTATAAAAGGAGAAAGACCCCAAGAGTGATCTACAACAGAAATTTACAGGACAATCTATAAAAACAACGTCTTCACGGGCAACATGATGACAATTAATTCATATCTTTCAATAATCACTCTCAATGTGAATGGCCTAATGCTCCCATAAAACGGCACATGGTTGCAGATTGGATAAAAAGACAGGACCCATCCATATGCTGTCTACAAGAGACTCATTTTGAACCTAAAGATACATCCAGACTGAAAGTGAAGGGATAGAGATCCATCTTCCATGCCAGAGGACCTCAAAAGAATGCTGGGGTAGCAATTCTTATATCAGACAAATTAGATTTTAAACTAAAGTCTGTAATAAGAGACACAGAAGGACACTCTATCATTCTTAACGGGTCTATCCAACAAGAAGATCTAACAGTTGTAAATATCTATGCCCCCAACATGGGAGCAGCCATATAAGCCAACTGTTAACCAAAATAAAGAGTCATATTGATAACAATACGTTAATTGTAGGAGACCTCAATACTCCACTCTCAGCAATGGACAGATCATCTAAGCAGAAAATCAACAAGGAAACAAGAGCTTTGAATAATACATTGGACCAGATGGACCTCATAGATATTTACAGAACATTCCACCCTAAAACAACAGAATACTCCTTCTTCTCGAGCGCACATGGAACTTTCTCCAGAATAGACCATATACTGGGTCACAAATCAGGTCTCAACCGATACCAAAAGATTGAGATTATTCCCTGCATATTCTCAGACCACAGTGCTCTAAAACTGGAACTCAATCACAAGAAAAAATTTGGCAGAAATTCAAACACTTGGAAGCTAAAGACCACTCTGCTCAAGAACGTTTGGGTCAACCAAGAAATCAAAGAAGAACTTAAACAATTCATGGAAATCAATGAGAACGAAAACACATCGGTCCAAAACCTATGGGATACTGCAAAGGCGGTCGGTCCTAAGGGGGAAATACATAGCCATCCAAGCCTCACTCAAAAAAATAGAAAAATCCCGAATTCACCAACTAACTCTACACCTTAAAGAACTAGAGAAAAAGCAACAAATGACGCCTAAGCCACGCATTAGAAGAGAAATAATTAAAATTAGAGCAGAAATCAATGAATTAGAAACCAGAAACACAGTAGATCAGATCAACAAAACTAGAAGTTGGTTCTTTGAAAGAATTAATAAGATTGATAAACCACTGGCCAGACTTATCCAAAAGAAAAGAGAAAGGACCCAAATTAATAAAATTATGAATGAAAGGGGAGAGATCACGACTAACACCAAGGAAATAGAAACAATTATTAGAAATTATTATCAACAATTATATGCCAATAAACTGAGCGATCTGGATGAAATGGAGGCCTTCCTGGAAACCTATAAGCTGCGAAGACTGAAACAGGAAGAAATTGACAACCTGAATAGGCCAATAACCAGTAACGAGATTGGAGCAGTGATCAAAAACCTCCCCAAAAACAAGAGTCCAGGGCCTGATGGATTCCCTGGGGAATTCTACCAAACATTCAAAGAAGAAATAATACTTATTCTACTGAAGCTGTTTCAAAAAATAGAAACAGAAGGAAAACTTCCAAACTCATTCTATGAGGCCAGCATTACCTTAATCCCCAAACCAGGCAAAGACCCCATCAAAAAGGAGAATTTCAGACTGATATCCCTGAAGAATATGGATTCCAAAATCCTCAACAAAATCCTAGCTAATAGGATCCAACAATACATTAAAAGGATCATCCACCACGACCAAGTGGGATTTATCCACAGGATGCAAGGGTGGTTCAACATTTGCAAATCAATCAATGTGATAGAACACATTAATAAGAGGAGGGAGAAGAACCATATGGTCCTCTCAATTGATGCAGAAAAAGCATTTGACAAAATACAACATTCTTTCCTGATTAAAACTCTCCAGAGTATAGGGATAGAGGGAACATTCCTCAAGTTCATAAAATCCATCTATGAAAAACCCACAGCGAATATCATCCTCAATGGGGAAAAGCTGAGAGCCTTTCCCTTAAGATCAGGAACACGTCAAGGATGCCCACTCTCGCCACTATTGTTCAACATAGTACTAGAAGTCCTAGCAACAGCAATCAGACAACAAAAAGAAATAAAAGGTATTCAAATTGGCAAAGAAGAAGTCAAACTCTCTCTTTTCGCAGACGACATGATACTTTATGTGGAAAACCCAAAAGACTCCACCCCCAAATTACTAGAACTCATCCAGCAATTCAGTAATGTAGCAGGATACAAAATCAATGCACAGAAATCAGTTGCTTTCTTATGCACTAACAACACAACTGTAGAAAGAGAAATTAGAGAACTGATTCCATTTACAATATCACCAAAAACCATAAGATACCTCGGAATAAACCTAGCCAAAGAGGTAAAGGATCTATACTCTAGGAACTACAAAACACTCATGAAAGAAATTGAAGAA